TCAGGAATAGCGAAACTAAAGCAGCTTCTGACAACCTACAAAGCCTGTGCACTGCCATGACATCCGACTGCCCCTTAGGGGAAGGGGGTACATCGCGGTTCGTAGTGTTTTGCTCTACATTGACAAGACCTGGCCCCTCTACGGTAAAGATACCAATCGACATTCTGTATTCGACCACTGATATCACCAAAACATTGCTCGTGTCTCGAACAACAATAGACATTGAGAAACTAAATAGAACATTCAATAAAGGAACCAGCAACATGGAGACGGGGCCGGTCATCACCAGCGCAAACATCGACCCCAACGTTTAAGAACTCTTTACTATTCAATAACAGGATGTTCTGAAAGGGTTGCTGACACTCAAACCCAATAAATCACCCGGTCTCGATAGGTTGGAGGCTGCCATTCTTAAGGGGTGCGCTTACACACTTTCGCCAGTGCTAACAGCTCTGTTTAATTAGTGCTTGGAAAACGGAATTGTATCTGGTTGTCGGAAATCTGCTCCCATCACTCCTGTGCCTAACAGAGGCACCTCAAAATTCCGCTCAATTGCATGTACGTCTGTTGTGTTGAAGCTTTTCGAGAAGTTACTCCCTCAAGGCAAGTAATCTCAGATGAATGTGCAGGACTAAAACTAATTTGCGTACCTCTGCTCTCGTTCCACACTAAATGTCCTAGCTTCTCTGGTTTATTGTATTTCATCAGCATTTGATGGAAATGAGAAAGCTGTCAAGATATACTTCTTGGATGATAGCGACGCCTTCTATTGAGTTGAAAGATCTAAGTTATTAAATATTTTGTCTTCCAACGGAATATCGCATATTATAACTGCGATACAAACAAAGTATTTCACAAATCAATCACAGTTCACACGCTACCTTGGTCTTTTCTCCTCTTCCTTGATTTTCTACACTAGGTGTATTACAGAGTGTNGAGTGTCATTGCCCGCTTTTTCTTTTCCACTTATATGTATATCATACACGCCTACTTTCAAAATTCCCTGCTCATTAAATACGCGGACGATGTTGTGGTCGGAATCGCCCACCCCGGTGCATCTGTCACCCCCACCCTCCAACTTGACCTTACTAACCTTGCTCAGTGATCCATTGCACATAACTCTTAATCCCTCTATACGCGTAGACACGCTGTTCTCACTTCACAGAGGGAATCGTTATTCAAATCTCCTGGAATCCTGTTATGTGATAAACATACGCGATGATCCTATTATTCAACCCCTAAATGTCGGACATCTTGGTGTGCTAATCAGCCGAAACTGATGCTGGTCTGACCAAGTTATTTCTGTATTTGTAAAGGTCAGGAAATTATCATTTTTTGTCCCACGCCTGAACGCATTATTCGTCCCTTGCCTCTTGATCGAACATTATTTTATTATGTCCCTATGGCTGTACGGGTCTCCTGTTATCTTCCCAAGGATGCTCAAGGACTTTAAACTGCTTTCCAGATCCTTAGCACAGTTATCAAGAAGCAGCGGGATTTCTCGTGAAACGCTGTCACTTCGTCATTTCACAACATACAAAATCATGCTTTACGTTATCCACAAAAATCACAAACAACCCTTCACATCCGTTACACCAAGATCTTATCAAGCGTGTCCCCTTCTTCCACCCGGCCTAGCTATAACTGTATATTTGCTCTTACGACCGCCGATCGGTCTTCAGTGGTGTCTTACCTTACCACATTTCTCACTAACCCAGAACGCATCGCTTCGGAACTGAACTCACCCATTTCGTAAAATGTTTTGTTTTCTCTTTGCTTACGACAATTCTGCTACAGTTTTGCTTGATCATTGTTGGTTGACTATTTGACTGCTGAATATCCACCTCCCGGGGTGCATAAATCAAATACTTGATTTGGTGGGAACATCGGGTAAGCAATGATGAGATTCGTTGTTGTGTGTTGGGTGCAGATAGTCGTTCTCTAAAAGAATTATTCGTTCTACACCGTCTCCGATGGTTTAGTCAGGTTTTGTGTATGTCTGCCCATCGTATGCCTCCCTGTGCTCTATTTGCATGTACTGGGCAAGGCTGGAAGAAGCGGAGCAGCAGTCAGACCATGATCTGGCGCAGAGGTTCGTTCAACCCGTCTTCCAGGCTAGTGCCCAAGGGATTAAGAGCGTCGTTAGTTAGACGCCGAGAGATATGGTCCCGAATAGAAATCAGTGGCGCGAAGACTGTCTGTAAAAATCCCGGGCCCAGTAAAAACAATAAACTGATACACAC